GATATCACGCATTTACTTCCATACAAAGTCACCGTCACAAAAAAAAAGTATCAAAAATCAACGCGATTTTTTAGAAACTTAAAAATTGCACTTTGTTATATTAGAATTTTATGAGCTATAAAACTGCATACCAAAAATTATTCTGGAATTTAAAATTGAAATGCTTGGATTGGGATGAAAAGTTCATGGAATTTTTGTACAAAGTCTGTAATTTATTATATTGTTGTATTATTTATATAAACATATTGAGCCTTAAAAAAGCAATAGAAAATAGTCAAAATTGGTAAAAATGTCGATGTGCCATCTTTTGTCGCGGGGTGTACATACATATTTGGTCATCGAACACACATAAAATAAAAATTAAAGGTTAGCTCTGACCATAACTAATTTTAAAGTGAAAGTTGCATCTCAAGCAGATGTTTATGCCAATATTTTTCAATTGCAAACCGAATGGGTTGCAAACTTTAAGCATTTCAAATCTAATTTAAATCAAAAATGTTATAGTGGAGTGTACCTGTTTAATCCCCTTAAATTTGATTCGAAATTTCTTTTCTAGATAGCGGCATTCCGTAGCGAGTTCGCTTTTTCAATTTAAATTGTTATTGAAAAATCAGCTGTCGTTTTACTTCATTTGATTCGAATCGAGTTTCATTCAATCACTTATGCCGTGATTCGACACCACCTCATATGGATTCGCCCTGATATATCCCGTATGAGTAAAAACTAGGTGCAATCCCGTATTCCTCGGACTCGGACTAGTAAAACTGTCAAAAAATAAAAATTCGCTCAGAGCGAGAGAGTAACATTGAAAAGTACGGGATCGCTTTCTAGTAAAAAATAGTAACTTCTGTCAACTTCAACATAACCTCCAAATTTTGGTTGTAAATTTTTGTTTATTTTGTATGTTAAGTGTGTAAATAACCAAAAATACTTTCAAATTCATTAGAATCCACTTAAACAAGTAATTAAATACTTTTCAACATGAATTAGCAGAGTGCACTTTACTTTTGTTTACAATTTGGTTGTCAAACACACTACAGCTGATCGTTTGACACATCTACCAGAATTTACCAGCAAAAAATTCTCGGACTAAAACTGGTAACTTCTGACAGAGAGATAACCGTATTTACTCTCTTTTTTGTCCTCTCAATAGTCAGAGAACTGAGTACGGGATCGATTTCCGGTAAATTCTGACTCATTCTGACTATTTCTTACTAGTCCGAACTCGTACGGGATCGCAACTACTATCTTCCAAGGCGAATTCAATAAAGTGGTGTTGAGGCGATAGCTGAATTTTTCGCCGAGGAAATCATAACGTCAAAATGATGTGTTTGTTGTAATTCATACTGTCGTTGTACGTAGAATTTGTTATGGGGTCATTCCATTGAAAAGAGAAAAACGACATAAATTTAAAAATTCCCTAATTAATCTCTTTTTCTGTAGTAACCTCTTCAAGCTTGTAAAAGGGCATGTTTTTGCCTTCCTGTTCTTGTCCAGTTCCCGCATTTTATAATACCATCGATTTAAGCAATCATCTGATTTTCAGGGCAACCATCTATCCTGTCAAAGCTTCGAAGGGCAGAGAATGTGCCTTCTTTGCCTTAAAAAAGTGCGACATTTTAAGAAACGAACATACAGTTTTCTCACCCCTTTGCCTTTAATTTAGAATCGAACGCGAACAGAGAAAGGGGCAATCAAAAGGCGGCAGCTTTTGGTAGAAACGAAATCGCCATTAGTGCAATTTTCTACTTAAAGACGGCTATTAAATGCGCCTTGATTGTTTCTTTTAAAAAATCTGAGTTTTCGCTGTTGCTTAGAAAATAAAAGTCATTCTTTAGAACATAAAAACTAAATCTAAAAAATGTTATTTATTTCGTAATCAAGACTAAAAAAATAAGTCTTGTTTTCTAAGCAAGAAGTAAAACTCAAAAGAAGTTTTTTAAATAATATGCACACTACGGTTCCTGCATGTTAGAGAAGGTTGGATCTAATTGGTTGGCCACATCTCTATAAATGAAAACTTTTTTGTTAGATTAATGAGTTAATTTGTAACAGTTTTTTTTTCTATTATGTTAAAACTAGTCGTTGCCATACGTTTCATTTCAAAAAGCTTGCATGCAAACACTATTTATATTTGTACATACATTCATACATGTCGTTACCTTAGTATAGCAGCGCCCCATCTAAGATTTTGGTTTTTATACGAAGTAGTTATAAAACTTCTTCAATTGCGATTTTTTTCATTACAATGGTCTTTAATAAACACCGAAACTAACATTTTTGATGTAGTTGATTTTAAATTCGATTAAGTATTTAATGAGTAACCTGCCGAACTGAATTTCGAAAAAAATTAGCTAAGGCCTTTCTACATTAAGGTAACGATATGTATACACATACACTAGCGGTCAGTAAAATCGCACTACCTTAAATATTTGGTAAAAGATCGCATAAGTAGTTTGCTTTCATAGAAAACTAAAGATTAAGAAGATTTGTTTAAAATTTAATTGCTCTGATATAAAGTGCAAGAGAGTGCACTTCACCAGCATACCTTTATGGGAAAATTAAAGCAAATGAATTTAATTTCCATTATTAGATTTGTAGGAATAAAGGTTTCAAAATGGCTTATTTTGGAACGAATCCGTTGTCACGTTTGGGTTGAAGACAAACCG